ATTTGTCTTATTTTTCGGTGCTCTTTTCACACTTAACTAATTTGGTGCTCATTTGTCTTATTTTTTGGTGCTCTTTTCACATATAACTAATTAGGTGCTCAATTGTCTTTTTTTTTGGTGCTCAAAAGACATGTCGTCCATGATTCTTGTGTACATTAATTCTATTTCATTTATTCTTTTTTTCTTTATCTATTATTTCACTTATTTTTGATTTTATTCAAATCTTTGTTTACGATTAAAAATAAGATTTGATTTATTTGATTGATCTATATTTGTTAAAGTAATTCAATCTTTGATGGATTTTGACATATATGATTTCTCTCAATTAGGTTGAAGAATCAAAAATATATTATTCTCTTTCGAATAAATTCAATGAAAAAAAAAAAAAAGTAAATCGAGAAACTTTTAATATAAAATAAGACTAGAATTTTAAATATATTATAGTGATACGTTGTAATAGAAAGTCGAATAGAACTATCGAAATCATTGATTTGAATAAGGATAATGATGATGTTAAACAAGAATCTTTTATGCATAATCATTCTCAATCATCAACATTTCATTATAGTTATAATATTGAAATTGAAATAAAGGTCAGTCTATCACATTCAACATCTCAATTGAGATTTTTCATCGGAAATTTAAAATAATTCTTCATAGTTTTATTGATGACTGATTAATATTTCATCTTTTCTTATTTTAGAAGAAAATAATGAATAGTTTCTTTTCATACAGATAATAAAGCTTTTTGAAATTAGCACAATCCTCTAAGGTATTCTTTACGAAAAAAAATAAAGAAGTTTTTTCTTAAAATTATTTTTAATATTTGTCATATGTTGAGTTGTTTTTCATCAATTATGACAAGTACAAATTTTTTCTTTTTGAAAAATTTACGAGTTAAAAATAATGAACGAATTACGTAGTTGCTGTGAAAAATATTTTTTAATGTGTGTTAATTTTCATCAGATACCATCAAATATTATACATACAACAAGTATCAATAAAGAATCATCTTTATCAAATGATCATTATATAAATAAGAAAAAATTCAATGTAAGTACTTGAACGTTTATTATTCTCTCGATTGATATATTAATCGAAAGACGATTTAATAATATCGCGATCAGTTGAAAATATTTTATTTCATTTGTTTTAAAATAATTGATCAATGAATTCTTTCATTTAGTCAATGATAAATAAATATTTGATTATCGATTGTATTAAAGGATTAAAAATGTTATCAAATGATTCAATACAATGTATCATAACTTCTCCACCATACAATAAACTTGGTCTACGACAAGGTTGTCCATATAATGGACAAATAATTTATGATACATATGATGATAATATGAATGAAATTGAATATCAAAAAAATGGCAATGTCAATTTTTAAATGAAATAAATCGTATTTTAACACCTTCAGGTTTATTATTTTATATTCATAAAGATCGACGATATTCTCATTGTGATTATCCTCCAGAACAGTTTATATTTCGAAGTAAATTAAAATTATATCAAACAATTATATGGGATCGAGGTTCAACACCTAATCAAAATAATTCTTATTTTCGACCTAATCATGAAAAAATTTTTTGGTTAACTAAATCTTCATCTAATATATCATTACCACCTAAATATTATCGTGATTGTCTACCAGAATATTTTAAAGGTGCAATTTGGAAAATTAAACCTGATCGAAAAAATAAACATCCAGCACCATTTCCATCAATTATTGCTGAAATTTGTATTTTAACAACAACTGATGAAAGTAAGTCAAGATATATATTTACAAAAAAAAAATCATTTCATGTCATTCAGAAAATATGATTCATTTTTCTCAATTACATTTTCAAATAGATCAGAACAATTTTTAAATATTGTATCCATAAAATCGAAGAGAAACTAAAGAGAATATTAAAATGTCAAGTTTTATTTCAATTTCATTGATCAGTGATATAAATCATTCGATAGAAAAAATTATTCTCTTTCAATCTATACAAGGCCAAGCTCGATAGCTTGCTCCGTTTGGTAGCTATAGGTATTTTCCTGAGACCTCCGAAATCGACCAGGTGACGCGGAATCATCCTTAAAAGCATTACATTATAGGTAAGCGACCATGCTGAATTCAGTGGTGATTTTTGTTTTTCATTTCAAAGTAACCTGAAATCATTATAAAATAGTTTTCGTAAATCTAGTTTTTGCTGCTATCTGGCTTAAAGAACACGTATATTGAAAATCTTGATACAGTGATCTCAAATTACTTTGAAATAAACAACAAACATCACCAATGAATTCAGCGTGGTCGATTACCTATAATGTAATGCTTTTAAGGATGATTTCGCGTCGCCTGGTCGATTTCGGACGTCTCAGGAAAATACCTGTAGCTACCGAACGGAACAAGCTATCGAGCTCGGGCTTGTGTAGATCGAAAGAAAATAATTTTTTCTATCGAATGATCTAATTGAAGTTCAAAATCCAAAACCTATCTTCAAAATGTCCAATGAGCTTTCATTCTATTGGTTCATTATTGACCAATGAAATTTTTCCATAGATTTACGTGCCACGGTGTTCGCTTTTTAATGGTGAAAACTGCAGCTCCATAGCTGCTTCTGTTCTTGAGTTATTCGACTTGCAATCACTCGCCTTCTATTTTGAAATAGATAGTAGTTCGAATTGTTGAAAAATAAATAGTTAAATTGGTTTTTTTTAGAAGATGTCGTATTAGATCCATTTGCTGGATCTGGTACAACACTTATAGCTGCAAATAATTTGAAACGATCTTTTATTGGTTTTGATATTAGTAAAAAATATCAAAATATGTTTAAACAACGATTGGCTAATTCAAGTGGTAAGATTCATCTCTGGGAAGAAATGTTTATTGTAGAAAAAATTCTAGATCGTAGAATTAAAAATGGTTCTATTGAATATCTTCTCAAATGGAAAGGTTTTAATCATGATCAAAATACCGTAAGTTCAATTTTTGTTTTTCTTGTTTTCTAAACCAACAGTTAAGTTAAAAAAAAAGTATTTGAAATTTCAAACAAAAATAAAACAGTCATTTTGAATATTATGAAACAATGTCATTATTAGGATGTGGCTCTTTAAGTGGAATAAATGCGAAATTTTTTGTTTTTTTTTATTTAGTGGGAGAACGAAACTAATCTGGATTGTCCAGATTTACTTGAACAATTTAAAATATCATTGAAAAAATACAAAAAAAAGAAACATTCATCGTCAAATAAAAGGTCTTTGGTTAAAATGTCATCAATAAAAGTAAGCCATTCCTACCATTGTATTTCAATGTATAGATTGTTTCATTGAATCATTGTCACTTATATTAACTATCAAATTTAATTTTACACTTTTTTTCCTTCGGTGATCGAACTGACTTAGATTTATATGAGAGATTTATTATATTGAATATGGTTATAGCAGTTCATACTTAGAAAAAGACGAACATCACTCATATCATATAACATTGATGGTATGAAAAATAATTCATTAAATCTTAGTCAATGGATATCATTTAGTGAACTTGAACAAAGAGAATTTTTCAATTAAAATCTTCATTTATTCATTTAGTTACGTACACACAAAAGAAAGATCAGTTCTTTTACTTCCTCAACAGATAGAAGAATGGTAAAAAGATATTGTCAATATATGGATACTTCATCAAGCAACGACGATAATGATTAATATTGATAGAAGATTCTATCCTCCTCATGGATTTTTCAATTGATTTTATAAACATTTTGTTTTTTTTTTGTTGTTCGATATTTTTTTTTTCATATTGTGCAGATATTCATGTTTGTGGAATAACAAACATTGTTAAATATATTCATTCGATTTTCTTTATTATCAAGGCTTTGGAAATGAAGAAATAGAAAATATTATCCTATTCAAATGGAGACATTACCTCTTCCCATAGAGACGACAAACGATTATCATTATATAATATATGAAAATGAACATGTTGAAATACACTAGAATGATCGATCATATGAATTTTCTACATAAAAAAAATTCTGATCACAGGATTTTTTAAAAAGAACAGAAAATAAATAAACAAATAGAGTAGTGATTTCTAAAGTTTCATCTTAAAAAATGATGAATTTCCTGAATGGATATAAGTTCAATGTTAATTTTCAAATTATTTCTTTCGAGCTTTTGACATCATACTTTTTAGTCACTAGTTACTCTAAAATGTGAAAGTGACTAATCGCGTCTAACTACGAATCTTGAACTTTTCTCAAATTTTGAAAAACACTTGAAAAACTAATCCAAGATCACAGATATTTATTCTGTTTTTAATTCTTCATATCTAATCATGATCTACTTTTTCGTTGCAAAATTTTCTTCTTTTTGTATTCTCTGTTCATTTATCTTAAAACAACAAGAGTAGAAATCACTATCTCATATCAATGAAAACAGCATAGAGATTATGATTTTCACGACATGAGACAATTAGCAACGACGTTAATGACGAAATGCATTAATGTTAGACTTCATGACTTGTGAAAATTTCCATGGTATACCGACTATTTCATCAGCTTGTGCAATAACTCAACGTGCGGAACTGTAAAGAAAAATATTAATAACATTTATCTACTCCTTGTTTTTTCTTTTTTCCTTTGCATGGGGTAACACGTAACCACATTAGTCATCACACGATTATATTGAAAATGGGTCATAAGATGAATACGTTCGTAGATTGACTCGTAAGTCATTGATTATTTTCAGATGAAACAAACTACTACCTCTACTTTATTATTATCACCATTCAATGGCAAAACAATTGTACTCGAACTTGGCCATGAAATAAGTTTCAAAGCTAAACAAGAATTGATCAACTATTTACGAGAACAGCAAGCACATATTTCATATATTTTGACAGCTAGTGTATGTTATCGTTTTATTTCATCGAACATGTGGTTGAAGTTGACTTTTTTTAGACTGATTATGTTTTGGCTACGAGTAATGTAGATAGTTACAAGATACGTCGTGCCAAACAGCTTGGTTTACCAGTGATCAATGTTCAATATGTATACGAATGTCGTTCTTTGCCACCTGGTCAAACACCAATTGATATTAACAAATTTATTATGAAGTCAGCTGAAGATCAAGAAAATTTTATAAAAACCGGCACTATTTCCATGGGAGGTATTATCAGTTGTTTTAAAAATCATTTAAGATATCCTTGTTTATTAGAATCTCGAGCAAATGTAACTAAAATCAATAAATTTGATTTGACTAAAATCAAACTATGGAATTCGGACGATGCCGATTTACCTCGTTTCGATGAGTTGACACATTGTGAGATTGGCAAATGGGCTATTTTCAAAGTAGATTTGTATCAATTTCTAGTTATTGTTCTCTTATATTTCTACTGTTCATAACAGGAAACCAACGATAATTCAAATGTATTTTTTGTTCTCGAACTTCAAATTATTCCCGAACAGTACTACGATCGAACAACGAGCGATTATCGACTACGATTTCGATATGAAAAACAGACTATTATTGGCGAAGAACAACAACAATACGATAAAAAAGTATTGATACAATACGTATTCAGTGATGATCCAAACGAACAACAACAATTGTTTGCATCGTACTATTATCGATTAGCTACAATGCCACGTATAACACGAATTCGTGAAATGTTACCTAATAAATTAGGTTCAAAACTATTGTTACGAGTAAGTAAATAATATTGATCAGGAGAAACTATTTTTTCGAAAGAAAATCAATTATTTTTAGTCTTTATTTACTCATCGTATCGATACACAGATACTTGATGAGAATGTATGTCAATTAATTGAATCAATTTGGTTAGAATCAATTGGTGATTTGAATAAAATTTTGAGCATATCACTCGAATCGATCACTCTCAAAACGGTATTTACACATTTATATTAATTTGTGTTCTAAACTATTAAAATAGATCATTGAAGCCGAAGCTGCACTGCTTGAACTCAAATCGACTAACAATCCTGCTGCTGCACTTCGTTTCTATTCACTTATACCACATCGACAACAGTATAATATTGATCTCATCAAGAATCGTCGAGCGTTGACTGAAAAAATAGACTTATGTCAAGTACGTCTATATCTTTTTATTCGTTTTATTTGATCTTTTACCTGTTCAGATGCTTCGAGATATGCTTACAGTCAACGAACTAACCAATTGGAATGTTAAAGCACCAATCGAAGCTAAATATCGAGCATTGAAGTGTCATATTGAAAGGGTGGCTAGTTCAACACTCGACTTTAAGAATATTGCTAACCTCATTCAATCGTCGACGGATAGGTGAGAAAATTTAACATTCGTTTTTTTCATAATGATAGCTTATTTGTTTTTGCTCATTAGCGGTGAACAAATTGTTATTCACAACGTATTCAGCGTAGCTAAACAGATAGATGCACTCAATTTTTGTACAACACTATCCCATCAACGGCAACTATTTCATGGATCGAAATATGTCAATTTTCTTGGGATTCTTTCACGGTAAAATATTCATTTCATCCTCTAGACAAAATATAATGTGTACATTCAGTGGTTTGGTCATGCCTAAAATGGTAGTGGAAGAATTGGGTGTTGAACGTACTGATGTTGGTTGTCTCGGTTATGGGATATACTTTTCTGATTCTGCTTCGACGTCTTTAAAATATACGACAGCAAGTACAATACAACCAGGTCGTCGTTTGTTATGCATTTGTCAAGTAGCACTTGGTGAATCAGCTAACTATTATTCATTTTCATCGACTCTCACCAAACCTCCGAATGGTTTTCATAGTACGCATGGAGTTAAACGAACAGAAGATAATCATTCAATGTTTACTGTAAGTAGTTAGTGTTATTGTGTCCTGTCAAAGAAAAAGAAAAGAATATTTTCGAAAATTTTGGTGAATTTAATAGAATCAGCAAACCAAATTTTTTTGTCAATAACAGTAACTAATCATTCATTTATGTCCGAGTTCGTCGGTAGAGCTTATAAAATCCATTGACTATTGAAATCATAGTTGATAGTGCAATCATAAATTTGATATTTATCGAAATAGGATAATGAATATGCGATCTATCAACTCGATCAACAACGTTTACTCTACATTGTGGAAGTTTCATGGGCACCGAAAGATAATCTCAATATCGAATTAGAACGATTACCAATTATTCATCATCAACAATATGCATTAAAATTGAGTGAACATGGTAATGATGATTCTTTTTTATTAGATTAGAATTCAATTATCAGATTATCTGTTACATTCTAGTCGAAGTTCCCATGACAATCGATGATGAAATCATTGAAATAGCTGAACAAGACTATGGTTTAATATGTTCATCATCGGGAAAACTTGTACCACTTAAATCATTTCATATTCGTGCTCAAATTGTTGATGTTACAGTTGAAGTAGATTATATCTATTTTTCCATTGAAGTAAAATACTAATTCATCATATTTCTATTTAATGAAAAGGTTGTTCTCTATCAAGTCTATCACAATACGAGTTCGATACCGATTGAAGCTAAATATGTGTTTCCTCTTGATGAAAATTCAACTGTATGTGGTTTTGAAGCACATATCAATAATAAAGTTATCAAAGGTGTCGTTAAAGAGAAAGAACAAGCCAAACGAGAATATAGAGAAGCAATTGAAAAGGGACATGGCGCCTATTTAATGCATCAAGAAGAAGCCCAAGTGTTCAGCGTTGCTGTTGGTAATTTGCCAGCGCACAATGAAGTTATCATCAAGATAACCTATGTCGCCGAATTAGAAATCGAAAATGATGATATTATTTTTCGTCTTCCAGCCAAAATGGCTTCATGGCAATCGAAAAAAGCTGTCGAAACCAAAGACCAATCGATTTTACGATCTATTGGTATTGTCGAAGAAAAAGTTGAATTCAGTTTCAAAGCATCGATTCGAATGCCATACAAAATAGTGAAATTGTTTTCGCCAACACATCGTCTTCGTCGAAAGTTAACTGATTGTATAGCTATGATCGAACTTGTCGATAATGTCTTACTTGATCAAGATTTTATTCTTTCGATCACAGTCAACAGTCCTAATTTACCTCGAATATCAAATGAAACATTGTCATTGGATGACAATAGTGGAACAACTGACACATCGAACAATCATAATTCTCAGGCATGTATGCTTACCTTTTATCCACGATTCGAAACATTGACGAATTCGAACGAACGAGTTGAAATTATTTTCATTGTTGATGTATCAAATTCAATGGACGGCAGTCACGTACAACAAGCTAAACAGTTAGCTCATTTGTTTCTTATGAATTTGAAAGTTGGCGATGAGAATACATATTTTAATGTAATTACTTTTGGATCAGGTAATAAGATGATATTCTACAGCGTTATTGTGTACTCAAAAAGTGAGCACACTATAGAATCGGTCAGTGTGTCCATTCGGCCGTTTACACGATAACTCCTTCAAAATATCATCCGATTGTGATGAAATTTTGCACACAAAATTGTCTCATCAATATCTCGGCCGAGTTATTGGAAGGTACTTTTAGATCCTCTAGTACTATGTTATGAAAGTCAATTGAAATGTTATAGTGGAGTATATTAAGGCACACAGAAGGGTAAACTGCCTCAGTTTAGTTTCTGGAGTTGAGAAACAGACACCTAAATGGTAGAAGATTTTGTACAGTCAAGGGATCTAGTGGATCGCTTTGATCCACTCTACGTATTATATACAATTCGATAGAGAATTTCACGGGCTACAAAATGGTATACAAAACATTAGAAAACAACAAGGCTAAGTCATCTATTGCAAAGATACTTATTTAAACTGAAACTGATGACTACTACCTTATGAGTCGATGAAGTGTAAGAGCAGCACTCGCATGTGTAGATCTTGTCGATCTTTGTTGATTTCATCGTAGCCAGTCTAGTTATTTTTTAAAGTACACATAACACTCGGATTTAAATCCGAGGTTTCTACATTTATTTTACTATTCAAATTGGAACTATTTAGATAATGATGAATGTTTTCCTATATCAGCACCAATTACAAAAGAAAATCTTGATAAAGCCAAACACTTTGTTCTGGTTAGTAGTTTATCTTTTAAATCTGATTTTCCTATTGAAATATACGTGTTCACATATTCTAGCATTCACTTGTCCATCGTGGTAATACGGATCTATTTGCTGTTCTTCATCGTTATTCACTATTACCATCGTCATTATCGTCGAAATTTGGTCGTCAATTCATTCTTCTATCCGATGGACATATTCACGATCTTAATTCGATTCTTGCTCTACTCAAACATCGACCAACTATGCGTCGTGATCGTTTGTTTACATGTTCAATTGGTAATGTTGCAAACAAACATAGTTTGAAACAGTTAGCTAATGGAGCAAATGGAGGCGGTCTAATAACAATGTTCGATTCGAACTATCGATCGAAATGGAAAACAAAAGTATTGAACATTCTCGAACAGATTCGACAACCATGTGTTACAAGTATATCAATCGATTGGCATGGTTGTTTGAATGAAGAGCAAAAATTCAATATGCAAGCACCGAAAATGATTCGATCTTTGTTCAATGGAATGCGACTTACTGTCTATCGATTCATAGAAAATTGTCACAAGGCAACGTTGACGGCTACTATTGATGGACAAGAATTTGTTACCACTGTATTTAGTAGTACGATGACAACGACCAGAGGACGTATTCTACACTGTTTAACCACTCGAGCGATCATCGATGATTATGACAATGGACTATTGGATGTAGATGAGAGCGAAAACGAATTGATTAAAGTTCAATATAAACGAGATCTCATCGATCTCAGCATCAAACATTCTGTTGTCAGTGCATACACTAGTTTTGTTGCCATCGAAGAACGTAATGTTAAAACGGATATAAAAACTCTTCAACCAGGTTAGTAAAAAAAAGTTGAGATTTTATGAGTAAACTCATGGGTTGATTAGTGACAGAACAGCACAAAAGTAAAAATTTATCTACATGCTTCTGATAATATGGATCAAAAATCTTAATACCACCAAAATTCAAGTATCTACATTCGAGTTGTAGCCAATAATCGATATAGTTTTGTCATGCAATCTACATCACTATTGAAACATGTACTTTCTGTTATAGGTGTTCGTCTGCTTGAAGTTATGCTGGAACGCGATGTTGACTTACTACCATGCATGGGATGGGATGGTGACGCATCATATTTGACTTTAATCAAACAGCAATTAGCCGATGCGCGCATTTCACTCCAATGTGCGTCGATTCAGGACAAAAAAGAAACAGTTGCTGATATTGAAAAACTTTGTCAAAAAATTTCCTACCGAGCAGGTGGTGATGCAAAATTTGGTACAATGATGACTATCATACGCACATATCGTTATTCATTGAATGAATACAATAAAGCAGATGAACTCGAAGACAAAATGCGAAACGGTATGTTAATTGAACTAGAACCAAAATATACATTTATTGATTTTGAAAAATGAATAGATATACTGACCGAAATGATTAGTGCAACAGCAGAAGAACGACAAGCATTGCAAAAACAATGTCTGGCGAACAGTTTGATAATCACAAATGACGAATTGTAAGTGAAAGAAAGGAAAGGAACATTCAAAAAAACTTTGATGTTCGTTCTCTTGCAGTGAATCATTGGCTAAATACGATGGTAAGAAGAAAACTTGATCATTTTACTTCGGAAAACTTAAACGAGAGAAAGAAAGTGATTCTATAATTTAGACCAAAATGAAAAATTAGGCACACACTATCGACTATCAAAGTAATAGACAAAAAGAATCTGATTATTTTGGTTTGTGTATATTATAGCATCTGAGCAATTCGATTAAGACAGCACAGAGTAAAATATAGTTTTTCTATTCAATTTTTAATCGTAGGTTTGTGTTTCCTCTCTCTATAACATAGTATAATTTGAATAAGAGGACTTGAACATAACAAAAGAATAAAGTATTATTTGAATCGTGATGGATCCAAGAAAAATCTTAATAATTGCATAACATATCCACACTACGTATATTGATCTTCGACAGACTTACGAGGGAAGGCCACGAACTGATAAATCGCTTTTTAAATTTTGGTCATGCCAATTTGTAGTGCTTGTTGAGTTATTAACTGATATAATAACTCAACAAGCTCTACAAATTGGCATAGCTAAAATTTAAAAAGCGATTTATTAGTTTGTGGCCTTCCCTCATTAGCCAATTGCTTATGGAATAAGATATCTGAAAGTGTTCTGTTCTCAATTGTATTGTCGATATTGATATAATCTACTCATCGCTATAATGAGATATTCTAATGTGTTTTATTCAAAAAATAAACGAGTTCACTGGAGTAGAAATTCATTGTCATGTTAGGATAAACATTTTATCCATTCACTTGAACTTAGCGTCGAGAACAAAAATGAATAACCATTGCATGTTCTCAAGCTTCATATTGCATTTTTGAAACTCTAACAGTAGTAGGAAATCGTTTTTGAAAGCTTTGGCGAAGTGATATTAAACGGAATTGCTTGGATGTTTTTTGAAAGAATTATATAGTCTAACTTTACAGCCTGACCTATACTAAGTAGAACATTTAAGAACATCACAATGAATACTTTGCGAAAAAAGTGAAGATCATTTTCAAAGCAATATTTATATTTCATTTTCATAGATTTGGTTCGTATGCTTGGAGCTGATTTCAAGGATTTAACAACAGTTGAACAAATAGAAAAGATAAGAAAACTATGCACCATGGTGCGCCAATTCAATGCTACATATAAGAATAATGCCGAAAATTGAATATTTCTTTTTCAGTTAGGTGAAGTACCAGATTTTACTGGTGAATTATTTATGCCAACAACAGCAAACCTATCACCAATACCTGAAAAGCAATTTCCAACTACAGATAACATGAAGATAACGGTGCGTAAGTGAAAGAGGGACCATCATCCACAGCTGCACCCTGACTGAAAGACAAATTTTCATATAAGGATCTTTCTTTCTCAGTAAAAGTATCTTCAAAATACTTCATCCAGTTGAGTTGAAATTGATACCGATGCTAAACCGTTGCGTAGAAAGGGCACAGTAAATATTAGAGCACAAAAAATTAAATTGCGGGGCGAGTCATAGGTGGTGCCAAAATCCACAAATTTCAGGATAATATTAAATTAAAGGCGGCACTTTTGGATGGCTTTCTGTTCTCTTAGTACGGAACTCAAACGAAAATGTTTTTTAACGAACGATAGTACTTAGATATAATTATTCATCTGTAGAGTAACACTGTTTAGTAATTAAAAACAAAATTGAGCTTTATTCAGGGTAATCTTAAACGAAAATCTGATGGTTTTCCAAAAAAACTGCTGTAAATATTTGAAAGAAACAAAGAACAGTTTAGTAAGAAAAGGACGACTTCGATTGATATAAATACAAGATATATGTATTTCGAAAGAAGAGACTTCACCGCATGTCTCTATAGAAGACAATTCATTTTTGCTTTAGAGAAAAAAAATCAACTTCTGTTAAGAGCTATTAGCATAATAAATCAAATAGGAAAACTTCATCTTAACATTTTTCACATTAAACTGAGTTGAAAAAATATTTACGACACAAGAAGCATGTCATGTTCAATGGAGTCGAACTGAAAAAAGAGGTCTAACTTTTTAAGTTAAGAAATGTGACCTTTAGTTACTTATTTTCTTAATCTTTAGGCTTCCTTCATCAAGAATTTGTTTTCAAATAAAACAAATACAAAAATATTAGAAATAATTTCTCAAAACAAAATATGTAAAGTGTCATATACTACAGAAAACATACTTGCAAACAAAAACAACGATTTGACTAGAATATCAGTCGAATTTCATCAAGACATATTTCTGATAGAGTCTACATATTATTTCATGTTTTAGTTCTATGTTGATTCTAAACATTGTATTCATTTTATTTCGCACTACACTTCATTCCCAGGAGGTTCAGTTAAAATTGAGTGCAAGGAAAGATAGGATTTCTCTTAGTCTCAAGTATTACAGATTTTTTAAGTAGAACTCATTCAAATTTGATTTGCTTCTCCTCATCGGCAAGATTATATGTCAAGAATATGAAAAATAGGTCTTTTTAGATTGAATTTTTCATGTTAACTGCGAAGTTTTTTTCTCTCTCGGATCACTACCAAATGGTTCCAATACTGATTATTGTGAACCCGTTCATTCAGTCCTATTATTTATTCTAGGCTGATCAATTGACAGAAGAACAAATAGCTGAGTTTCAAGAAGCTTTTTCTCTATTTGACAAAGATGGTGATGGAACAATTACAACAAAAGCATTGGGTACGAAATTCTTCATTTGTTTTTCTTTAGATATGTATCTATTTATTTAAATATTAATTAGGTACGGTGATGCGTAGTCTTGGTCAAAATCCAACTGAAGCTGAATTGCAAGATATGATCAATGAAGTTGATGCTGATGGTAAGGTTTTAATCAATCAAATAGTAAATTTGATTTGGTCTATATTTTGATTACATTAAACAGAAAAGAATTTCTAACCTTTAATTGAACATAGACGCCCGTATCTAATTAAAATCAAATCTCGAGATATATTTATTCTTGAAGTCATTCGATTTTTTCTCTTGTATATAAAAGAACAAATAGTTATTAATTATAATTGTATTTGCTTTATTGTTAGGTAATGGTACGATTGATTTTCCTGAATTTTTAACGATGATGGCACGTAAAATGAAGGATACTGATTCGGAAGAAGAAATTCGCGAAGCATTCCGCGTCTTTGACAAGGACGGTAATGGATTTATATCAGCTGCTGAATTTCGGTAAGGGAAAAAATCTAACATACAAATATGTTTATTCTTTTTTTTAAAGTCATGTCATGACAAATTTGGGTGAAAAACTCACTGATGAAGAAGTTGATAAAATGATTCGAGAAGCAGATATTGATGAAGGTTAGACCATTATTTTTATTAAAGAATATTCCTTCGACTGAAGGGAGGGTCATATGAAAAAAAAATGATTTTGTGTGTCTGTGTATTTGTGGCAAAGTCAAAAGAACATTCGCTTAAAGATCAATGCTCAGGTTTCTTCGATATCTAGCTTTCGTCCAATCAGTTTCTTTTGGGTTAGAATTTCAGCTTATCAAGGGTTTTCGATATTGGCCTTTCGGCCGATCAGATCCTTTTAGCTTGAAGTTCCAGTGAATCAGGGATTTTCGATATCGGGCTTTCGACTAATCAGATTCGTTCAGCTTGGAGTGTCAACCAATTACGGGTTTTTCGATATTGGAGTTTTGACCAATAAGATTGTGTCTGTTAGAAATTTCAGCTATTGAAACATTTTCCAGAACTTACCTGCCATCCAATCGGATTGTGAGAATCTGGGCTTTAAGCCGATCAGTATTTTGTTGGTGCATTCCTCGTTCAACCAGACTTTGTCGGAGGGGTGTCGACAAATGACTAGCCACTCATTTCTGAGGTCAACTGCAGCTATGCTTGAGAATAGATCGATATGAAATCTAACATGTCTTTTGGGACACTTCATTAGGGTTCCGTTAATGAAAAATTCCAGATTAACACAGTTTCTATAGCAAGATCGAGAAAAGAAAGGTGTTAAGTATAGTTCACAATAAAATGTCCTCTTTTCGAAAATTTGTGTCGAGATTTCTTCTATTTTTTCTACGAAAAATATACCTGTTGTGTAATGCTTCGCCTCTTCGTTGTTACGATGAACATAGTCCATCAGGTTTAATTTCCTATGAAGCTGCCTATTAGAAAGGAAATGGTAGAAGCTTCTACATTCTGACTTTCGCCCATCTCACGCTTTTCGAAAATGCATCTGAGTTCTACAAAGAGATTTTCCAATGAGAAATTGCACTTGGGAATGGAAGCCACTAGCTGTGAATGGCATCTCAAAGGGTACTAACGATTAGTTGCTCTGATGAATTCGCCGAAGGTGTGCTTCAGACCGATCAAGTCGGATCGGCTGAAACTGTGTTAGAAAGCGGCAATAGGCTGAAAAAGTTTTCTTTAAACTATCTGCGGTTTTGACATCTTTTTCAGCTATTGTACATTTGACTGAAACACATCGATATCTTTTGCCTATTTTCATGGGAAATGTTTTGTACGTGTTTGAACCAGAGATGATCATGACTCGGTTTTTTAAATTTTGAACCGAAACGAAACCCAGAGAAATTCAACTAGGGCTGAACCGAATCGAATTGAAAAAGCTTTTTGTTCTACTGTATATAATTAATGTTATATCATCGTTAAATAGATTTCTTCTTTTTTTTCTGAGCTACTATCAATAAGAAGCAGGTTGAATAATACTGTGTATGTTTAATAAAGAATAAATATTTATTTTGCATTGAATTCGATGACTAGCTGCCTTATTTTAGTTCGAAAAATAGGTCAAAATTCAAAAAAATTTGCACATGAAAATACGGAAAACCACAGATAGTTTTTATCTGAATTAGTTCTTAGACCTATCTATGGGCAAAGTTTCAGATTCGATTTGCTTAATTTGATTTTTTCAGTAAATACCTAGGAATAGGTCAAAAATGCAGTAAAAGGACCATAACCTTTTGAAGGAAAAGCCATGGACAGAAACCGTTTTGGACTTTTTACTACCTCTATATACTCTATCAAATGAGATATGAATCATTTTAAATGGAGAGTGAAACTTCGGATGGTTCCCTCGTTAGATTTATGCGAATCGAGACTGGTGTGAGGTAAAATCAGTCAGGTGACTCTCATGGAGAAGGATGCGGTGTGGTGCCTTTCCTAGTACGAACGTGCAAAACGATTGTTTCCACTTTCTTTGGTTAAAACTGTGTTTTATAGATGAAAACTGTATTAATTAATGAGAAAAATTTTTTATTTCATTATTGAATATCCAAAAATCGATTTCGTTTTTGGAGACTTATTTCCACTTAAGAAAACTCACTATGCTTTTATGAAATGAATTTCTTCTGAGGAAAGTCGTGTAATTACCTGCCTCGTAATTAAAATTAAAATCAAGCCTTATCTCTGACCTTTTTGACTTCACTCATAACATATTTCCTGCCGGAATTATAATTTATAATTGTGATAAAATTTTCAGTCGAGGATCAAGTGAGTTGTAGCGACGAGCATTACTTGTCATTATAATGAAGGAAATACTAAATAGCAATTATCTTTACTTATATTGAAAGGTGAAGAAAATTGCATCGAGCAGTATCGTTCATGAAATGGTTTAGAATAGTAATGTATGACAGAGTAGTAGATATTTGTGTCATCGTGAAATCTGTATCAAAAACGATTAGAATTTTGACATTCAGATCGATTAATAAAATACTTTCTTAAAAATTGCTTATGAACTTTTGATAATTGACTCTACTACAATTGCATAGATAACAATTTTAGTGAATTTATTCATGTGGCATAAGTAAGCATAATCTTAATGCGTGATATTTAATATAATCAATTTCAAGTGATTATTAGGTACATAATCCATTTTAATAAACACATCTTTGAATAAATAATACGTTGCTATTCTGATTGCCACTACTACAAGACTACGATTTCTAATCCTTTACCTTACCACCCATAACTGTTCTAAAAGACTCACAGATAAAATAATCACACGACTAGAGCACTAATCTTTCCAATATGTCAGTAGAGGAAAGAATGGAACAACTTGAAAAGTTCTACTTCATATCTCTTTATCGGCAATGTTGATTAGATTAAGAGGATTTACTTAAATCAGTGGATTTATCTATTGATAGCATATAATACATTTTCACCGTACCAAAAGAAAGCTATAGCTCAGAAGAGTTAGTCCTCATCCTCAACTACAAACTCTGTCCATGAAAATCTCATGATGAGGGTACCTTCATAGCAGTTGATATATTTTCTAATCCATCAGTGCAAACTAATACATTAGATAGAAAATTTCGAGCGCTTCAGAATATGTTATTATGCTTTTACAAATATCGTGACGATATATTATTTTTTCCAGAGGTATATATGGATTAATCTTATATCGAATTGTTTTTTGACATATGAGATTTGTAGATTGACATGATGTAGACATTTAATTTAGTACTGAAATATTTGTTGTGATGTTTTATAGTTTATCGCAGCTGCAGTCAGCGAAGAAGAGTAATTAATTTGGTGTAACTGTTTGCTTTCTTTTATCAAAAATGAATAGCTTATTTGTCACTAATCTAGACAACAGTATTTTGTAGCTACTGTTGAAGTTTATTTTTAGGGATAAAACTATCAGAATTGCGATCGAAAACAAGTGGTTTGAAACAAGAGTCATTAGAGGAATATGAAATGGCAGATTCATACGATGACAAGGGCAAAGACACCGACGATTCATCTTCGCTTCGGTTTATACACACCTGTTGGCCTTTGTCGACGAGTCATGATTTGCCCACTTCGAAGATAATTCTAGGTAATGAAAAGGAACGCTTGACAGAATCAAATTTTCTTAAGTTACTTTCGAAATCAGAAGGCCAACCAATGCCAATGTCTACTGTTGATAAGAAACTGAAAAAAAAGAAGATGAAAGAAAGAGGTACAGGTAAGAACGCTATTAGAATCAAGTTCATTTCATTATCTCCGTTATAGGATCAGTGCCTGCACCACCATCAGGGCCACTACTAGGACCGCCTCAACAACAACCAAAACCTAGCACCAAGATGCCAATGTATGTATTTTCCGGACTCTGTGTCATGTAGTCATTGATGTTTTCTGTTAGGATGGCAGGTTTGACATTACCATGCAATCAGCCATCAGTACAAATATCTGAAGCTGCAGCATCGTCATCTTGTATCGATGATCTCAAGACTACAAGTAAGATTTGAATTTCCGCCTATTAATGTTCATGGTAATTCCTAACTTCAACTAGATTTGAGCTATAATACTTCGACTTCTTGCGCAAATAATAGGTTGTTCTTATACGATCAAGAGTTTCGAATGTTTTACACCTATTTCCGAGGAGGAAGCAGTAATTTATGAGTTTGATGAATTTGATTAAATTTGAGTGAGTATAGTAAGCTAAATTCAAGTCACTGAGACTCACTGGAGTTAACGTTAAACATTCTACGTTCTGATTTGATGTCCATTTTAGGTCTTGAATTGGCAGCACCATTCGATTCATCTGATCATGTAATTGATCCTTCTGCATTGACTTCTCTTTCTTTACCTGAACCACGATCACCAGACATATCATATCGAACAATATCACTATCAAAAGAAGCGGCAAAATTTGCATTCCCCGATAGTGGCAACTGTATGCAATCTCCAATAGCATCAAAACCGAAGCCAAGTGTTAGTAAGTTAGAATCATACAAATTTCTCGATTATTTTAATTAATGATCTTTGAACATAGAAACACCTTCACGAGTTTTGTCAAAGAGTGGTAAACATGGTAGCATGCGAGTACTTGTCAGTGAACCACAAAGTTCAGACGATGATACAATGTATGAAATACTACCAATGGATTCGACATATTTCTCTCCAGATGAAACTGTACGATGTGATGAGATGTTTAACAAAATACGTGTGCCAATGGAAAAACGAGAAGATGATATGAGAAAGTTTACAAGTGAAAGCGCAAAATCAAAATCCACGATTCATAAAAGGGCAAGACAATCAGAAATGTAAGTTTTGACAAAGGTGTGCGATGATTAATTATTAATCGTCATTCTCGATCGATGGCTTTGTTTTTAATGAGAATTAAATGAAAATTTAGGTCTCGATCAAGAATGACACATAGTTCAACATCCGACGCATCTGTCTGTAATCTACTTCTTCTGGATGTCTGCCCACTTAGTCTAGGCATCGAAGATATTCACGGTAACATGCATACACTCATTCGTCGTAATACAATTATTCCAACGCGAACTGAACTTTATCCAATATTCACAAATGCTTATGCCTATCAGACAACAGCTACCATTCGCATATTTGAAGGTGAACATAATTTCACAAAATACAATGTACGTAGTGTTCTAACTTCATAAATTTTATTTTCTAGCCTTCTCTATTGTAGACATTATTGGGCGAGTTTAGTCTTTCCGGCCTAACAAGCAACTTCGCTCCTCAGACACTCGAAATAGCTATTCGTATGGATATCGATGCTAATGGGATACTTCGTGTCGATGCTGAAGAAGCGCGTTCGGGCGTGAAAGCTTCATTTACTCTTGAGTCCAATCAGCAAAGTTCTACAATTTCTTAGATGTTTCATATCATCATTAAATGCCGTTTATATTTATCTAGGATTGAACAAAGATGATATTGAGCGACATATTACCTATGTAGAAAGTGATACAAATTTTGCAGCTAAATCTGGTTAGTGTGAAAAAAGGATAAATGATATTCAATTATTGTTCTTTTGTAGTTTATGATCGAAAACCCAATGATCCATTGTACTTAGTTCGTACTATGTCATCTGTTCATAGTTCGTTTTTCCACTTTTTCTGTCTTTTCTTAGCTCGATGGTCAAATTACACCCGTTACACGTAACTTTTCAGCTGAATTTGTTACCTCATTCGGTAATTTGTCCTTTGTTGTTGTTTGAAAGATATACTGCAATAGTATATGAATTCAGGTCAAATAACTGGTGCTCCACTTCTCATTAAACTGAAAAATGTTCGATCTTCAAGAACAATGATTGAAAAGCTCATCAAACTTCAATCCGAGGTAATATCATTTTCAAAGTTTATTATCGATTCATTGCTTTGCATGTGATTCGAATATAGGACGGTTCATTTACGTTGAATAAAGATTTAGCTGATATACTTCATGTCAATGTTGATACTTTCAATGGTCTAGAACAATATTTATGCGAACAAGGTTTTAAATCACTCGGTAAGATCGTATGATTCATTACAGAGACATGAACTTTAATTTTCGTAGCTTTGAACATACAAAACGAAATTGTTCGTTTAATCGGTACAGGCGTCATTCTTCTTTGGCTCGTTCTTCAAATACAAGATTTACAACAAAATACGTGTCAATTTTTATTTAACATTGAACACATCAAAGTGAATTTTTTTTCCGATCTTTTCAATTTACATCCTACTCTCTCTATGTTGCTAAGGTTTATCTCTACAACCATTTACCTACTAACATGAGCGAACAAATTAACAAAGCGATCGAATTCTATCAACAAACAAGTCAACGTAATGGTATCTATTGTAAACAATTAGAATTGAGCGATTCATCGTGGGACATGTTTATTCAACGTATAGTTATCGGCATCGATCATGTCAATAACTAAAAAGTGATTCTGAGTGACATATCTTTTTTTTTTCTAATAATTTTGCCATTACACTTTTATTATTCTAATCTTGAAGTACTTCAACATTGCTTATTCTTCAACAAGAAAAGAAACAAAAGAATTTTAAGGATACAGGTGAATGTACGTGTGATACTAAACATAAGACGCACATCGTCATATTTTTCATGAGTCATGTGTTGGAAAAAGCAGTTGCAAGAATCTTCAATGCAAATCTTGGTGTACAAGCAATTATTCCTGGTTTACGACTAAATTGATAAATACTTCAATCTTGTTGGAAAATCTGACAAAATTTGCCAAGATCTAAACGAAGTAGAACGCATGGAAAAACTTGCCATTTCTATCGTTCAACAGACAAATACATTAAAAATTTGTGGTTACTGAGTTTTAAGCTAACAGTAACATTCTTTCAGCTAGTAAGCCTCATTTTATTTATTATAGACGCCAAAATATAAGGCAGGTGGTTGTTTTTGAATAAGTTTCGATAGGAACAAGCTAGAGACCTGTGGTTTTCACCATTCAACAGAGAACAGAGATGAGTATCCAGCCATCTGGAATTTCATTGGTCCAATAAGTGACCAATCAAGTGAATTTCCTAATAGAAATTTTGAGAATGAGATTCTAAAGAAATTTTCCATTACATTTTGGTTTCTGGTACTACCATTCGATAGAGAAATTCGTTCTCTTTCGATCTACGCAAATTCTAAATCTGTCACTCGTTCCATTCAAGAGATAGACGGGTTTTGGAAAAGCTTCAGATTTTGCTAAATTGATCTCCAATTATTCGAAAAACTGTCTGGAGAGGGGTAGTTGATCTTGCTAAGTCAAATGGTGACGTTTATTTTTGGTTTCAAAGTGACTGCAGATATCTTCAGCAGGATTCCTGAAAATCCATATTTTCCTGCTATGGAAGGTAAATAGCCAATGTGTTGAAAATCTTTCTATAGAGATCTCCAATCGTTTTGAAACAAAAAAATGAACGTTACCATTCGACTTAGC